GTAGAAAACTCACCAATGTTGAGGAAGTTAATAAGAAACACCCTTCCAAGTAGTCCTGCCTTCAAAAACAAAACTGTAATGGAAACTAGAAACTAGTTTGAACAATGAGAAAAACACTCGCATAAAGATTTGTGGAACTCGGTTTAGGGAGTCCTTAGAAGAAAATTCATGGCTTTAAATGCTTTTTGTTTTAAACAGAAGAAGAAATATATAAAATTAAAACTCTAAGCTCCCACTCCAAAATTTTTGAAAATTTTTGGGAAAAAAGGGCAAGCTGCAACAGAATAATGGTCGATTGGAATACTACTCAGCAATAAAAATTGCAAACGACTGACATCTGCAAGGAAACATTCCATGAGCACAAGCAGTCAGCCGGAAACAGCACACACGGTGTGACTCTCTCTGTCCGAAGTTCTGGAGGAGGCGGAAATCCAGGCAGAATTTTGCTTGATGGCGGGAGGCAGAAAACGACAGCAAGAGAATGTTCATCCCTTTAATTTGATCATAACACCTTTGTGAGGGAGGAAATCTGTATTTGCTTCTTTTTAAAACAGAAAGCTTCGCTTTGGAGAGTTTGAGTGGGGCCGTAAGTCATAAATCAATAACTGATCAAATTGGAACTGGACTATACAGATTTTGATCAAAGCCAAGTGACCCTTTAATTTCATTGTCATTTTCACTCCCTCATGTCAGGTTACTGAAACCAAATTATTCCTGGGGCACAGTAATAGCTACCAGGGATGCGTCTCCCCCACACCAAGGTCTTGCTCAGCCTTCTGCATGTTTAGTTCATTTCCCTCCATTATCATCAGAAAGGTTTTAGCCAACTTCCTCACTGAAGGAGACACACCCCACCACACACACACACACACCCTCACCCATACCCCCCCACACACATATTTAACCTTTCTAAATTTGCAAGACATCTTACAATTGTGCAGCTGGACAATTCAGCATCCCCAAATCACGAGGAGGCCCCAAGAATCAGACAGGCTAATTCTGAATAATATTACATGCATGACTTTCTTGGAAGTTTTTGTTTTTGTTTTTTTTTTATTTTTAAAC